TAGTGAGAACTTGCAATCTATGCAGGGAAGATGGATGTGATGTAAGAGGATATTTTGTATGGTCTCTTCTGGACAACTGGGAATGGGCTGCAGGCTATACTTCAAGGTTTGGCTTGTATTTCGTTGATTACAATGATGGACTCAAGAGATACCCAAAGGATTCAGTTCAGTGGTTCAAGAACATGTTGAATTCTCCATAAGCGAAGTAACCGAAACCAAATCAAACAGAAGGTCATTGCCTATGAACTTGGGCCCTTGTAATTCTGGAGGGTTTTCAAATTCAATTAGTATTGGTGCTGTGTAATGATATTTGTATAAACTTGGCACGTTATCTATACGAATACTAACTCCAATCGAATACTACTCCAATTATATATACGTAAATTATGACTCGGATACGGATATACGTCGGTAAGAAAAATTCATATCCATATCCGCCAAAATCGGATACGGTTACGGATATAGATGCGGATATGTAAACGGATATGCATGCATATACAAAAAGGATATGAGAAAACTAGATAGTATTTAGAAAAATATAGTCATGTGATACAAAAAGAGTTAGTTAATATGTTCATTATGATTGAAAAGCTAAGATTAGACATCTTGATCATCAAAATTAACCACAAATCCATAATCTAAGAATCGAAACAGAAAAATATAGTCATGTGATACAAAAAGAGTTAGTTAATATGTTCATTATGATTGAAAAGCTAAGATTAGACATCTTGATCATCAAAATTAACCACAAATCCATAATCTAAGAATCGAAACTATCGTAAGAGTATGACCAATATGTATTCGGATATTTTTGGATACGGATATTTCACTACAAAATCATATCTGTAACCATATCCTATCGGTTATAGATTTGAGCAACCATATTCGTAACCTAATGGATACGGTTACGGATATTTCCTCGGATACGGATACGGTTTGGCACCCCTAATTATGAGTCAAAGTTGAAGATTTTTTCCCCACCCCCCAGAACCGTTTTTTATTGTAGATGCCAATATCATATTTGACCTCAAAGTATTTAAAGCTAAATCACATAGTTTACTTTTAACTTGTAAAGCTTAGTAAAGTTCATCAAAAATTAAAAGAGTCAGAATGCAGTTGAATTCTACAATTAAATAGTTACTATACGGTGCAGCATAAAATTTTGCAGCAAGTTGGTAGTTGTCATGTCCTACCTTCAAAATTGTAGGACTTTTCCAAATCCCCGGATAAATAGATGTATACAGGAGGTAAACAATGCCAAGTTGAGAATGTGACAACAACATAGCACTCCATTAATGCACTTCTAGCAAACAACATATTATAAATCCTGAACAGTAGGATAACGATCAACTTCATTAAACAGATATTCTAGGAAGACAACTTTGCTTAGTCCCTCTTCAGAGAACGACAAACTCTACCCACAAAAACTGTTTTGACCCACATATCATATCACAAAGAAAGAAAATGAAGCAATACAAGGAACACGATGAAGACTAAAGACACGGCAGCAGTTTGCTGCAGTTAATCAATACATTTCCTTTCAGTTTCGGCTGTCGTGGCGCAGGAGTTCCACTAATCATCATGTACCTTATTGCTGAGATGATTGGAATATCGAATAAATATATTTTGTCTACAGAATAACAAACAAACCTCAATGATGAATTATCCTAGGATACGTATCAAGCCAACTTCTTCAGGGTTCGATCACAAGTAAAGGCTGCAAGTGAGAACAAAAGAAAAATGAATGAGAAACAGTAATTGAAAAGAAAGAAAAGTAAGTGTATGAGAGGGCATACAGTATCAACGCTAACTGGCTTTCCATCCTCCGCAATTATATCAACAACTGTCCCATCCTGATCAGCCTGCAATATAAGAAGGAATCATGTACCGAAAGCATACTTAATGATTGGGTGACGTATTTCATAAAATTCAATTAAACAGGAAATGCATTTTATTGCAATCATACAAACCACCAAGTGCGCCAATGACAACACCATCAAAGGAGAACTTAAAGTAACGCATGTAGTGTGCAATCTAACTGACAAGAACTTCTGTGCAATCTAACTGACATGAGCTTCTGTATTTTCATTAGTTAAATGATTTTCTTAGACTACTAAATAGTGTCTTTTAATATGGACAAATGACGACTAAATCTAGGGATAATGTGAGGGGCTGCTCCTACATTGTATAAATGATAAGAAATCAGAAATAAGGTGAATGTCCTTACCCATGAGTTCACCTCAAGATTTATAACAAGCTCGTGTTGACCGACACGTCAAAACCAAGTTGAACTCATAAAGGGATGACCTCAAGGGGATTACACACATTATGAGAACTTGCTAAAAGTGTAAACATGTCAACCTCCAACCTTATTTGGATGACGAGGGTCATATGATGATAAGGACTAAACTTTTACTTATTTCCTTCTCTTGATAACCATAATGAATTCATTCTTACGCTAAGATCATAGAAATCAACAAAATCAACCCTGATAATCTACAAAATGCAAGTGATTTTTCCTATCTAAAGAGAGCAGAATATATCTTTGGCAATGAGAAGCACTAGTCGGCAGACAACCCTAGTAATTATGAAAACGCAAGTCTTCTCTAAAGATTTTATTGAAAAAAAAATTAAGGGAGTTTATACAACCTGAATTAATCTGTGAAACTCATCCAACAAATTACTAAGAGAACATTCTCTGATAGCTACAGAAACTTACAACAATAAACTAGAAAAAGAAACCCATAGAGTTTGTGATTAGAACAATAAAAGATGTTTACCTCAATTTCATTCATCAATTTCATTGCCTCAATAATGCAAACGACCTGCCCTTTTTTGACCTTATCTCCAACCTACATGAAATACATGTTAACTTCAGTAATCACGTAGATCAGTACTATCAAAAGGGAAGAAACGATGTACACAACCATAACAATGAAGACTGCCTCAAAATTTTGGGTCGAGTGAACATACAACATACAGACATCAGTCCACAATGCAATTTATGTCAAAAGAATGTGCTCAGCAATCTGTAGGCACTGTAGTTTGTTGAATTGTGACTACCTTAACAAATGGTGGCTCCCCAGGTGCTGCGCAACGGTAAAATGTTCCAGCCATGGGGCATTTAAGTGGAGGATGTGATGATTTGCTAGCCTTTGCTGAGGCAGGAAGTGCTGCAGGTGCTGATGCTGGTGGAGCAGCAGCTGCTGCAGGTTGAGGAGCAATACTGGGCCCTGGAGGCTGAGGTGCATACATAGCTTGAGGTGAAGGTTGCATCATGACAACAGGAGCAGAAGAGGCTGCCTGTGGCAAGGCTTCCTTTTTCCTTATTATGAGTTCACAATTTTTCTGCTTTAGTTGTAGCTCTGTTATGTCCCTTGAATCCACAAGCCTGCACAACATGATGAAAGGAAACCCTGTCACAGAAAATTCGTCTACACTTAGAAGCTTCTGCATATAACTAAACATTTATAAAGAAGGAACTTGTCAAGCTTAACAACTCATATCTTGTATAAAAAATGTTCAAGTACCAGGTTACTAGGGACATTTATGAAATGATGCCAATAACAGGAGGCAGTTTATTCACCAAAGATCATAGCCAAGGTACAGGCCTTACGTGGTCAATCCCATATCTGTTATTGGCAGTTTATTCACCAAAGATCATAGCCAAGGTACAGGCCTTACGTGGTCAATCCCATATCTGACAATAAAATGACACTAGTGTACGGATAACTCAAAAGTCATTTATTTGTAGTGCCATTTGTATTTATATTTCAGTTGGCCTTCTCTACTTTTATGACCAACTATAATATTTGTGACCTTTTCTAGGTCTTTCATGTCAAATGTAACCCGCTAATCTTCTATGGGCCTGTTTGGTTCGCTTTTGTGAATCGCGAAAAAACCCTTTCCTCCTTCTGACAGCCTCGCTACGTCGACAAAAACCCGTTCTAGGTTTTCTTTTCCCAGCTTTGGTTCGCTTCTTCCCCTCGTCCCTCCAGTCGCGGAAATCCCCTCCACCTCAGATCTGTTTCTTTACCCCATTTCCTTCGAAAACGAGATGAAATCGCCGAAGATCTGTACTATTGTCAGATCTGCGGTTTTTTGGGGGAAATTTTTTTGAG